TAAATATTTGCCACACAACTGAGTGAATTTAAGGCTTTAATGGTTTTGTTGTACCTAAAGAACTTCAGCCACATGTTTACACTGTGCTTTCTTGTTTGAACATATATTTATTTGTAGCTATGTCTGGAAGTTTAGTTTTGGGGGGGATATTCCTTGGAAAATGACATGAACATACAGATAAAGCATAAAACTGATGTCCTTTGAAATCTAGATTCTCATCCTGTTATCTAATTGCTTTGAATGGTTTTCAGGAGAAAAACTTCTTCTCGGGGTCTTCAGAGGAAAGGGTCCAAAAGCCCATCACTACTGAGTCAATTCAGATACATAGTGAGGGAGGCACAGGAAGATCTTTACAAGGGAGTTAAAGCAAGTCTCCCAGAAAACTCATTTGAAAACTGTGCTGTGAATTAACGTTTTATGGGGAAAGTCCTACAAATTGCAAAACCCATTTGTCTTCTTTGCTCAAGTAAACACAGATTAGAAGTCTACTTGTTAGACTGCAAGGATTAACTAGCTTTTTAAATTTTAATTTAATTTTTTTATGGTGCTAATCTATGGTGTTGTGGAGGCAATGCTGATTACATTGAAAGATTGCCGGTAACCTTTCAGGCATTAAACAATGATCATACACGTTTTCCTCTACTTATATGATTCATTACAAATACACTTGGGCCCTACTTTCAAAGCTTTGGGAATTATGGGGTAAGATTCAGGGATTTTACTTAAAAATATTTAAGACTTTATGAGATACAGAAAGCTACACTTGGAGCTGACTATTTGTGGTTTTTTGGACCTGGCAAAAGTCTGTTCGTTCACATCACTTTGACCTCTGCTTTTTTTGGTTCTTTGTTTCTTCAGTTTATCTTAAACTCCTGGTACCTGTTTATTTATTGAGGAATATGTAATCGAGGAATAAGTGTCATCGAGTCACTTCTGGTGCATAGCAACCCTGTATAGGGTTTATGAGGCTATACATCTTTGTGGGAGTAGAAAGCCTTATCTATCTCTTGCAAAGTGGCTGGTGGGCTTGAACAGCCAACCTTGTGGTCTGCAGTCCAGTACTTATCATACAAAGCCACTGCGCTTACCAAGGAATCTGTCAGAGCTTCTTTTTCATGGAGTCTGCTTCTGACTCTGCATTGGAAGCTTGCTGTTCATTCTCCTATAGATTTCCCATTGATCTATTCCCAGGATAACATTTTCAAGCATGTGAAGCTGTTTCTAGTTGTGCTAGCATTAACACTGAAGACTTGGTTTTGTTGTTGTTGTGTTTAAAACTTTTATTGTGAATTGAGTGAAGATTTACAGAAAAGATGATCAATTTTACATTCAACAAATCATACACTTTGTTTCATGTCAATGACTGTAATTTGTCCGCGTAACACCAGTTAGCCTACTTCCTCCCTGTAGTTCCTATTTTCATTTGACCCACTTTCCCATGACTACCTAAACTTACACAGTGTGAAGTAGAAAACTTGAACATACCTATAACAAAAGAAGAAATTGATCAGATCATCAAAAAACTTCCAACCAAAAACAGTTCTGGCTCAGATGGCTTCACTGGTGAATTTTACCAAACATTCAGAGAAGTGCTGTAAACAGTTCTATTCAAACTATTCCAGAATATAGAAAAAGATGGAAAACCCAGATATATTTTATGAAGCTAGCATAATCCTCATTAATAACCAAGGAGAAACATCACTGAAAAATAAAATTATCGACTAATATCCCTCATGAACACAAATGCAAAAATTATCAATAAAATCCTAGTCAATACAATTCAACAATATAACAACAACAATAAAAATACATCACAATCAAGTGAGATTTATATCAGGGATGCAAGGATAGTCCAATATTAGTAAAACAACCAATGTAATCCACCATATAAATAAAATTTTTAAAGTAACATAATCATATTGACTGATGCAGAAAAGGCATTTGACAAAACACTCATTCCTAATAAAAACACTCAACAAAGTAGGAATTGAAGGGGAATTCCTCAACATAATAAAGAGCATATATACAAAATCAACAGCCAACATCACTCTCAATGGAGAGAAACTGAAAGCATTCCCTTTGCAAACAGGGAGCAAACAAGGACGCCCTTTATCACCACTCCTATTCAATATTGTGTTGGAAGATTTTGTCAGAGCTATAAGGCAAGAAAGAGAGATTAAAGGCATCCAAATTGGCAAAGAAGAAGTAAAACTCTCTCTATTTGCAGATGATAAGATCCTATACATAGAAAGTCCCAAATACTCAGCAAAAACATTACTAGAAGTAATTGGAAGATTTGGCAATGTGGCAGGGTACAAGATTAACATACAAAAATCAGTTGGATTCTTCTATACTAATAAAGACAGCTCTAAAAAGGAAATTAGGAAAACACCACTTACAATAGCCACCCAAAGGATGAAATATTTAGGGAAAAAATCTAACCATAGAAACAAAAACCTATACAAAGAAAACTACAAAGCATTACTATAAAAACAGATTTACAAAAATCATGGATACGAAGACTCAACATTATGAAAATGTCAATAATACCAAAGCAATCTACAGACATAATGCAATCCCAATGCAGATTCCACCAACATTCTTTCAAGAAATAGTAAAAATGATCACAAACTTTATATGAAGGGAAAGAGTCCTTGAATAAGCAAAAGATTGCTTAAGAAGAACAAAGTTGGAGGCCTCTCACACCCTGATCTTAA